TATGGATATATATATATACATATAAAGATATATATATATTAATGTATATATATATATATATATATAAATGTGTATGTGTATATATATTGCCTTGGTTTGGCTCTGTAATCATTAGAGGTCGTGGGACTAGTTTGGGCCCTACCTAAGCTGGTCGAACGTTTCATTTGGGTCTACACCCTAGCTGCACTGATGAGGCCTGGAAGGCCGAAACGGATCCGTCTGCCCAGGTGTGAATGCAAATAGTGGAATACAAGCTATGTGGCTCGGTTCCAGTAGATACAGAGAATATGTTGTCATTCTTAACGCGTCCTACGAAATTCTTAGAGACAGCACTAGTCTTGCTAGTTTACATATTGGAGAACAATAAGAAATGATTTATAATAGTGGAGCAGTATAACAGTAAAAATGACATGTCTCACCTGAACTCTGAGCTTTGGAAGACAAAGTTTTGCTGCTAATTCTTCCCGCATGTATGCATCTAGGTAGTGAGACTTCATGAAGGATCTCTCAAGTTCGCAAAGTTGAAACGTTGAAAATATTGTACGATTCCGTCGGTATTTTTTCTTTTTTTCCTTGCCTGCATTGCTCTCGTTGTACTCTGCGTGAATGTTGGAGTCAAACTCGACTTCGTCTGATGCATCTGCTGTGTAATTTTGTGGCTTTGTCAAGAAATAATCATCTACAATAAAAAAAATACATAATATTAATATATATATATATATAAATATATATATATATATATATAAAACGAACAAAGTAGACAAACTTAGAAAAATTCCATATGCATTTATTACTACAAGTTTGTTTCGTATGGACAGCTGTTAAAAGCTGCCCACACTCATCAGGTACAAATACATAGTGAGTAGTCAGTACAAGGATTACATTTATACTAAGAGATATGGGGAATATGCCCAGCGAGAGTTTCGAACCCCCCGACCTCGAGGTTTGGAGTCCAAGCCACAACCGATGCGCCAACCACTTCTTTATTATATGTAATAATTTATTAATTTACAAATATTTCAAACACTCCTGTGTTCTTCCTCAGTGTGAGGACAACTGACAAAAAAAAATACAAAGTAAAGCAATATTTACACACGAAACGAAAACAGAACATCGAATCAGCGGTAAAGAACAAAGGCGCGTAATAAGATGCGCATCCTAAACGTTCTACTTAATATGGAATAAACAAAGTAGATAAAAGCTGGATAAAGGCCTAGGAACCAAGAAAAAAATTAAGTATATATAAATGAATAGTCTGATAGTAATCTAAGTCTTTATTTAAACCGTTAATATAAGAATTGGTTCTAAGAATCCACTTCAATTCTTCTTTACGTCTATGTGAGAGGGATAAAAAGTTATTAGCGACCAAAATAAATCGTATTTCATTAATGCTATGGTTAGGTAGATTGAAGTGACAGGCTACTGGGTAACCAGTGGAGTTGTCTCTGATGGTTTTTTTTGTGATTATTAAATCGGAGGCGGAATTTAGTACCAGTCTCTCCAATGTAATTACCAATTTGATTTTTGTTACAAAATAAAATGTAAATAACGTTAGAAGAATCACAAGTAAGTGGAGGGGGATCTAATAGTAATATTAGTACTAGGAATAGTGAATGTGTCGGAGGTGCACATGAAACTGCAAACTTGACATCTGGGTTTACTACATTTAACGTTACCAGAAGAGTGGGAATTCTTATGGAGTTTAGAGGATGAGAGAATAGATTTCAAATTAGGGGGTTGTCTTTTGGCTAGTAGGGGAGGGTCTTCAAAAAGGTGGCAAATAGATTTATCTTTATTGAGAATTTTATAGTCAGTTTTAAGTTGGCGGGTAAGAGAACTTATATTGGGATGGTAGTCGAAGACGAGAGGAATGCGGTTATTAGTAACATCTTTGGGTTTATAATCTAGAAGGGATTGTCGGGGACGGGTTGAGGCTTTAGAAATAGCTGATAGTATTAGTTTAAGGGGATAATCATTATTATGAAAATGGCTAGTAAGTATGCCAATTTGTTTGTCATAATCATCCGAAGATGAGCAAATTCGTTTAATTCGTAGACACTGACTATAATAGACAATAGATTTTTTAAGGCTTGAAGGGTGGGAGCTGTGAAAGTTCAGAAATTCATGGTTATCAGTAGGTTTAGTGTATAAAGAGGATGTGATTATGTTGTTAGCAGAGATGCCTACAAGAACGTCTAAAAATGGAATTTTGGAAGGCGAAGTTTCAAAAGTAAATTTAATGTTAGAATGGAAGTTGTTAGCATGTGATTTGAAAGCATTGAGGGTATCTTCACCGTGGGGCCAAATGAAAAAAATATCATCAATATAGCGAGCGTAGTGAAGGGGTTTAAGGTGAAAGGATGAAATAATAGCTGTCTCAATCTCGTGCATAAAAACATTAGCATAGCTAGGAGCCATTTTCGTGCCCATAGCGGTCCCCTTAATTTGAAGATAGTGACTGTTGTTAAAAGTGAAATAGTTATGCGTAAGAATGGATTTAGTAATGGCAATGATATCATTAATATGTTCGACTGGCACACATTGTTTAGAAAGGAAATTATTAAGTGCTTGAATACCTTCTTCATGAGGGATGTTAGTATAGAGCGAAGTGACGTCCATAGTGACTAGGATAGATTGGTTAGGTATATTAGTTATATTATCAAGGATTCAAAGAAATTGCGTAGTGTCTTGGTGTAAGGGGTTGATAATGGAATCAACAAGGCCAGACAGATTTTCAGTGAGGGTACCTATGCAGAAAACGATCGGTCTACCAGGGGGAATGATATTGAGCTGTTTGGATAAATTAAAAATTTCAATAGGCTTAAGTGCGCTGATATTGTAGTTAGTATTAGACAGTGATTTTAATTTATTATCAATAAGTTTAGGCAGTTTGTGGATATTCCAAATAAAAAAAGTTATGGTCCAAAAATTTGACTTCTGTTTTCATCATTGTCATCAAATCAAATCATATATATATATATATATATATATATATATATA